CAGCCTTCCTATGACACGCTTGTGGGTACAGGGGTCTGGAGATGGGCTTTCCCTGAGACTTGAGGGTGACCTGTGAAGCCAGGGAGGAGACAGAGACCTAGTGTGGGTCATGAAGAAGTGAGGGTGAAAACCAGAAGGAGACTGGTTGAGTGTTGAGTTGAAGAACTGGACTTTAGATGAAGGTGGAGATGATGAGACCACACCCTTAACCTTGAAGTCTTCCACCTGAGAACCTGACATTTAGGGAACCGGCAGCTTCATGTGCGGCTGAGTGTTTTCAGTGACTGGGAAAGGGCCATCGAGACAGCCCTGGTTTCCTCTCTTGCAAGTCACCGACCAGGCCCGGTGCATCCTCGCTGGAAAGCAGGAAGCCAGAGTGCCCTTTCTCCTGTGCCCGTCTCCACAAGGTGGGAGGTGAGGGAGAACATTTACTCTCATTGTCCAGAGTGAAAGCTTCATTCTGCAAAATGGCCAAAGTGATCAGCAAGTGATGGAGTAGCTCTTAAAAAGAAACCTGGCATTTAATTAACTTTTCAAAGTGCTGGTTCAGCAACCTCTGTTTTACATTTTGAATATTGAACAAGCATCTCTAATCGGGTCTGAATTGCTCTGGACCTGCCAGGTTGGGGAGCACCTGCCCAGCTTTTATGAACACCCACAAATCTTTTCTGAATTTTGGGATAACCAACTCTGGATGGGGCTTTAGTCTGTGAAGCCTTCTCCTTGCTCCCCTCATGAACTTCAAGTCACAGTTCATGAACACTTTTGTTAGAAGAAAGCAGGCCACTTCGAAGGATAAGGCAGGAGGTTTCCATTTTGTCGCTTAGCAATTGGAGAGTTCAGCCTGCTATCTGAAGTAAGGTTGAGGGCAGTGATTCTCATATACGTGACTGGGTCCCATTCCTAGAAATCACTACCCCAGGGGGCCTGGGATGAGGCCCAGCACATGGACACTGAAGCAGCTTCCCAGGTGTGATTCTCCTGTGCACCGCTGGGAAAGGGCTTCTGGGTTAAAGGATTCTTTCCAGCTCTCAGTTCTCTATCGGTACCATCTATTGCCTTCTGTAAATGTGGAAAGTGTGGAGCGGACTGTCTGCACAGTAAATCCAAACAGATGTCGGTGCCCTAGGGACATCTGAAAATCAGAGATGTCTGCTTTTGAGAAGGCTCGGGGCATTGTGTTTGGAATCCAGAGTGGAAGTCGGGAGACAGGGATTCTGGTTTCAGCCTCATCACTAACCAGCTCTGTGACTGGGTGAATTGCACCCGCAGTGCCCAGTGTCTATAACAGTGCTGCGGAAACCGGCTTTACCTCCTCCTCAGCGCTCGACTGAGCCAGTGTTGGTAGACTCAAGTCTTTGAAGAGTGTTGAAAAGTGCTCTATGTGCATAAGATGGTCTCATGGTATTATTTTAATTGTCATGCTCCCAAACCCTCTAATAGCCACTTCTGGGGAAAGAGACACATCACCTTCCATGGGGCTGGACCAGATCACATAGTTTCTTCAGAAGTGTGTCTGTAAGGAAGAGATGACCCATAATCCACATTCTCAGCCTCCACTGCACGCGATCCATGGGAGGCAGGACTTCAACCCCAAGTCCTCTGGTTACCTACCCTGGTGGGCTGTGTTAGACCATCTGTGTTTTCATTTTTTTACCCTGTCACCAACCATTTAAAAATATACTCTGCATCATGCCTGGGTGTGTGCATATAGAAAACTGAAAAAAAGTTTATATAATACTTATCCTTACTATGTGCAGTTCACTTTCTTTTATACGCTATGCTATTAAAACAAGGCTGATGGTGATTTAGTAACTTGATTTCATGAGTCACTAATGGGCCATGACCTGTAGTTTGAAAATCATTGCGTTAGATTCTGTGTCCTAGCACTGGGCTCCGTGTCCTTTGGGGACCATGTAGGTAAAGTGAATCTGTGAAGTGTGGATTTATTTCAGAATAGCACTTAAATTATATTACTGAGATATGTATACAAATTATTTGCATATTCATACTTCCGTAAAGATACATACTCTGCAAATTTTCCTAAAATATATTTCCCACTTAGTCTTCCTTTTGCTTTCTCCTGTTTGATAGCTGCCGGCTATAGCACATACTTCACTTGCCTCTTCTCTTCTAGAAGAAAGCCAGCAGTGCAGATTGAATGACAGAGAACTAGTACTCGACCCCCTCATGTGAGGGAGGGCTAGGGGCTCAGGCTCTTCCTGAGTTTTCCATGTGGGACTGTAGGTCTAGTGTTGCCAGGTTTTGTATTTGAAGAATTTAGAAATTTGGATTTTCGTACAAACTCTCCCAGTTTGGACAACAAATGCATGTTAAAACAGAACAAAACAAAATAAAACTAAACAGTAGCGTGGTCCAGACCAAACTTATCTGCAAGCTAGACAAAGCCTGGAAGTGGCCCACTTCATCAAAGGCAGGGTGTTCTGTGCCATTTTTCCATCTCCCCAGCAGAGTAGAAGGCTCACACAGAACCTGTAGTTCTGGCTGAGAGAGAGAGAACACCACCTGAGGGCATCCTGGCCAACCATCCTTGAGGGCTCCATTTGGATCTTTTTCCATCCCCTGGGGTGAAATGAGATGCCGGAGGATCCTTGGCTCCCCCTAGAGTGAGAGAGAACAGGATGTGGGCTCAGCAGCAATTAAGCCAAATACGAAATTCATCCCCTTTTTGGATGTTGAGTGGATAAATGGCAATTAATCAGCCTTCCCCCAAAGATTAGCATTATCATTATTGTCTCCTTCAGACAAAATCACCGCTACTTTTGCCACGGCACATTGCTTAGGAAGGACCAATTCAGCCCTAACTCCTAAGGGTAATCAGAGATGGATATGTCTCTTATGTACAAATGAAGGCACTACTGGCCTAAGCTACCTGGCCTCTTTAATCCCCTTATTCTCTGAACCTGTTTTCATTTAAGCTCTTTTACCATTGGTGACATATTTGTTACTGAGTCATTTGGACAGTGGGTTTATGGTGTTCAACTTCACCACAATTAAAGGTAGTGAGTTGGGAGCAGAGTCTTCGCTCTTCCAACATACACAGAGGCAGTTTTGGCAGCTGCCTTGGGCTCTACATTAGCATTCCTTTGACTTAGAACAGTATTGGAAACCTCCATCATCCAGCAACACCAGGGTGGTGCTGCCCTGGACATCCCTTTGCAGTCTTCCTTGGGCCCCTTACTGCCCTTTCTGTCCCACTCGCCCTCCTACACCTAGTTGCTCACTCTCTTTACTTGGAATTATAAACTGCAGCCTGGGAGTTCCATCCTGTTCTTCCAACTCATCCTACCCATCTTCTTCTCCCTCCCTGACTTCAGCCAAAATTCATCTTCCTCCCTCCCTTCCTTCCTTCTTCCCCAGTGTACTTGGTATGATCTAAATTTCATGGAACATAGTTTATTTAAACTTGGGCTTAATTTATGATTATACTCTTTTTTTTTTTTCTTTATTGATTTTAGAGAGAGAGGAAGGGAGAGGGATAGAGAGAAAAAACATCAATGAGACAGAATATTGATTGGCCGCCTCCTGCATGTCCCCCACTGGGGATCGGGCCCACAACCTGGGCACGTGCCCTGACGGGAAATAGAACCAGCGACCTCATGGTGTGTGGGTTGACATTCAACCACTGAGCCACACCAGCCGGGCTATGATTATACTCTTGAGGAAAATTATTTACAGTTTGCAGGAATTGCTATTTGGGTCCTACATGGCTCTTACTGGTGAGGCTTCATGGTCCAGCACTGTTGAGGGTGTTCTCATCTTGCCTCCTGGCCATTCTGTCATTGCCACTGCTCTGTGTCCCTGCTCAGCATGGCAGTTGATTTCTAATGTAAAAGAAGTCATAAAAAATAAAAACTCTGTTATTGTGGAAATGTTCAGATATACAGAAAAGTAATCACGACCTACCTGTCACCCAACTTTAACAGTTGTCAACGTTTGCCAGCCTCATTCCGAAGACTTAAGATCAGTATTTCTTAGAGTGTCAGTAGTATCCCACTTGGATTAGAATCACTGGAAATTCGGTTACAATGCATGTTCCTAGGCTGCCCATCCCCCAGACCAGCTGATCCCCACGTGTCTGCTGCCAGATCCAGCAATCTGCATGTCTGTCAAGCTTCCCAGATTGTTCTCATGCACATTGGAGTTTGAGAACCAGTGCCTTAGACAAGTGTCTGTATGCAAACAGGCTTCCAGTTCCTATGGAATATCTTAAGGGCACTACTCACCCAACATCACTCATGGGCTTCTGGTCCTTCACTTGGAAGATACAGAAGGACAAGCCCTGAGCCTGCAGCCTGAACTGCATGGCTAGTTCATCCCTTTTTGCTTATTAGAAGTTATGTGTGTTAACACAACAGCTCCAGCTGGGACCCAAGGCCTCAGTCCTAAAAACGTGCTCTATATATTGGTCAGTTAATAGTTGAAAGAAAGGAGGACACCATATCATCTGTATTCACTGGACTTTTTTTTTTTTTTATCCTCACCCAGGATATTTTTACATTTATCTTCAGATAGAGCAGGAGGGAGAGAGGGAGGAAGCGAGCGAGAGAGAGAAATATCAGTGTGAGAGCGACACATCAATTGGTTGCCATCCGCACAACCCCAACCGGTGCCGGGGCTGAATTGCAACTGAGACACGTGCCCTTGGCCGGAATCGAACCTGGGACTCTTTGGTCCGTGGGCCGACACTCTAACCACTGAGCCAAACCGCCAGGGATCATTTGACTTTTGAGCTCACTCAACCTGCATTTAAACTCAGTAATTTAATTTGGAGACATGCTGAAATAAGGTTATAAGAAGGTGTTGCAGTGTCTAATTCTCATGCTGATTATGGGCCTTGGTTTATAAGGACGAATCCAGACAAATAAAGCACTTGGGATATGCTAATTTGCCCCCACTTTTGAAATCCCCTTTCCAATATACCATGCCAATGCATGAGACTAGTGGGTTCACATAAACCTTCTCTTTGTTTTTTTCAGATCAGGAAGGAAGGCTTCTGAAGAAGTGGAAGAGTATGTTTGCAGTATTCTATGGCATCCTCTGGTGATCTTTGTCAACAGTACAGTCTTGGTGGTCTGTGCAGCCTTTGTTGAGCAGCATTTAAAAAATAGACAGTATGGCCCTGGCTGGCTTGCCTCAGCAGTTAGAGCATCCACCCATGGACCAAAGAGTCACGGGTTTGATTCCCGGTCAAGGGCATGTACCTGGTTGCAGGTTCAATCCCCAGCCCTGATTGGGGTCATTCGGGAGGCAGCTAATGGATGTGTCTTTCTCACATCAGTGTTTCCTTCTCTCCCTCCCACTCTGTCTGAAAAATAATAAATGGAAAAATATCCTTGGGTAAGGATTTAAAAAGTAGAGAGAGACAGCATGAATCTGGCTGTGGTCTGGGACTGGAGTTATGCTTACTGAATCAAGGGTTTGACCGGTACTGCTGCTTCAACTGAAGGCCTGGGCCCTGGCACTGATAGCCCTGTCATATCTCACCGCGGTTTTTAGAATTAGATGTCCAGGAATTAGAGTACTGACCCATGGGTTCTGCTTTATTGATGAACATGGGCAGAAGCAACACCAGCTTTCTAAACCTAGCCTTCTCCTAAGACTTGCATTTAAAAACAAAACAGTTTCTAGGTGAAGATGGAGTGTTAAGTTAGGGCAGTGGTTCTCAACCTTCTTAATGCCGCGACCCTTTAATGCAGTTCCTCATGTTCTATGTGGGCGCATCTGCATGTGGGCGGACCCGCCTGGAGACGGATAGAGGAGCGGTATCTTGGTTCCTAAGACCATTGGAAATATGCGACCCCTGTGAAAGGGTCATTCGACCCCCAAGGGGTTGCAACCCACAGGTTGAGAACCGCTGAGTTAGGGCCACCGAAGTTCATGCCTCCAGAGGTAGGAGAAACATTCATATCATAGTCTGTGGGATGCTACCTGTGGACTGATGCAGTACTAGCTTGGGCAACCTTAGCTGGCAGACCCAGTTGCCTAGTTAGGTTTGAGCAAGTTGATGGAAGAGAGTGGATCCAGAGACATTTTCATCTAGGAGAAAGAATGGATGCAGTAAAACTTTGGATTGTTCCTTTCTGTGTTTAAAACTCATCTTCTGCTTTCCTTCTTTTGGGGGGCAGTCACCGCCTCAGACAGAAGAGCCTGGATGGATCAGATGACGAAGGAGGTAAGATGTTTTTGGAGGAAGTCAAAAAGGCTTTTGGAGATGTCCCAGAGCCCCCAAAGCATTTCCTGGGCTGCAGCTAAGGCACCGATTGCTGCTAAGTGCTGCTGCCTCTGCCTGGAGACCTCACCTTCTTTATCCACGAACTCTCCCGGTCCTTCAAAACTCAGCCCAAGTGTCACCTCCTCTGAATGTCTTCCCTTCCCATCCACTCCCTCTCTGACTCAAATGTTCTTTCTCTGTGTTCCTACATCCTCCTGTACAACATTGTACCAACAGCAGCAACAATATAGCTAATATTTATTAGGTGTTTATTATATATGAGTCATTGGTCTACCAGTTTATAGATGTTAAAGCATTTAATCTCCACAACAATTCTGTGAGACAGTGATGTTGTTATTCCCATTTTATAGTTGAGGAAACTAAAGGACAGAGAGGTTAAGTTGCCCATCATCACAGAGCTAAGGACTTTCACACTTTCTTTGTTAGCTTGATTGTTCTTCCCACCAGGCTCTAAACTCATTGATGGCAGACACCATGTCTTATTGTCTTTGCATCTTCAGTACACAACACGTAATGAATGGTCAATTAATGGCTGGCATTGTCAGCGGAGGAGAAACAGCACTAAAATAGGCCAGTAGCCGTGGCACAGCTGAAGCTCATGTTCAGAACTCAAGAGAAAAGATAAAGTTGTGTGTACTTTTTATAAGAAACTTACTGCAGAGGAGATTATATTTGGTACCTAAATGATCAAAGCCGGTTTTTCAATACACATATTTACCATTTCCACACTCTATTCCTTTGTGTAGAATTCAGTTTCCATCTGGTGTCATTTTCCTTGTGCCTGAAAAACTTCATTTAACATTTTTTGTAGAGCAAGTCCTCTGGCAACAAATTCTCTCAGCCTTGTTTGTCTGGAAATGTCTTTACTTTTCACAAGATATAGAATTCTAGGCTGACAGTGTTTTTTGTTTGTTTGTTGTTTGTTTTTTTGTTTCCCTTTTAGCACTTTAGTTATTTGTCTTCTGGCTTGCATTGTTTCTGATGAGAAAGAAGTCGGTGGTACTTTTTTTTTTTTTAATATTTATTTATTTATTTATTTATTTATTTACAGATGTTTCTCCTTTTTCCCCCATTACCCTCCTCCCAATCCTGCCCCCAACCCCAGCATTATTGTCTATGTCCTTGTTTATGCATACACATTCTGTGGTTTATCTCTTCCCTCCCCCACATTCACCTCTTCTGAAGTTTGTCTTATCTTTGTTCCCCTGCATGCAGTGTCTTTCTCTTCTCTGGCTGCTTTTAAGATTTTTCTTTTATTTTCAGCAATTTGGTTATGATGTGCCTTTGTGTGGCTTACTTTGTGTTTATCCTACTTGAACTTTTTGAGTCTGTGGATTTATTATTTTCATCATATTCAGAGAATTTTAGCCATTGTTTCTTTGAGTATATTTTTCTTCCCTCTCATTCCTTCTGGGACTCCCAATTACAGGTATGTGGGTTATATCAGTTGAAATTGCCACACAGGTCATTGAGGCTCTGTTTGTGTGTGTGTGTGTGTGTGTGTGTGTGTGTGTGTGTGTGTGTGTGTGGTGGGGGTTCTCCATTTTAAACTGCTTCAGTTTGGATAGTTTCTATTGCTGTGTAACTGATCTGTTCCTCTATAATGTCTAATCTGCTGTTAAACCCAACTCATTTGTTGTTTCAGATATTATATTTTTTAGCTCTAGAAGCTCCACTCAGTTCTATATAGACGTATCTATCTTCCATTTATCTCCTTATTTTATTCATGTTTTTATTTTTCCTTGATAGTAACCTTTACAGTAGCTGTTTCCTTTCTTTCTTTCTTTCTTTCTTTCTTTCTTTCTTTCTTTCTTTCTTTCTTTCTTTCTTTCTTTCTTTCTTTCTTTCCTTCCTTCCTTCCTTCCTTTATTGATTTTAGAGAGAGAGGAAGGGAGAGGGAGAGAGATAGAAACATTGATAAGAGAGAACATTGACTGGCCACCTCCTGCATGTCTCCCACTGGGGATTTGGCCCACAACCTGGGCATGAGCCGTGACCGGGAATCGAACCAGCAACCTCTTGGTGCATGGGTCAGTGCTCAACCACTGAGCCACACTGGCCTGGCTATAGTAGCTGTTTTAAAGTCTTTTTCTGCTAATTCTATCACCTCTGTCTTTTCTGAGTCCGTTTCTATTGACTGATTTTTCTTTGAGTTGCAAGTCAGATTTTTCTGCTTGATTAGTAGTAGCTGTTAGATTGGCTGCTAGCCGTTGGGAATGTTACTAGGTTGAAGGTCTGGATCTAGTTGTCTTTTCTTTAAAGAGTGATATATTTGTTTTGGCAGTCAGTTAATGTATTTTATTTGTTGATTAACTTGATCATTTTGAGAATTGTTTTTAAGCTTTACTGGTTGGTGCAAGTCTGGGGTTAGCCCTAAATAGTAAGACACTCAGGTGTCTCTACTGAGTGCCTGGCTGTTCAACAAGGACTCCCACTGGCCTGGGTGGAGCTGATCCTCTTCCACTTCTGTGTAAGCTCTGGGGATCATACAGTTCACATCTTGCTGGTAGTGATTCTTTGCCCAACCTTGAGGAGTTGACCCTATACATGCACAGCTTAGTATGCAGTCCATCTAGATTTCTGAAGCTCTTTTCCTATATAGCTCCCCTGTCTCATATCCTGCTTCTCAAATTCCAACCCCCTGAGCCCCTTAAACTTTGACCTCTGTCTCCTCAACTCAGCAGGACCTCTATCCTTCACTTGGGGTTACCCCTTATTGTGCCAGCATCCAGGAAGTACCTCTGGGCAGAAAGCCAGTGTGACTGCAGGGCTCCTTTCATTCAGTTCCTTTCTCTTGGGGATCACAGTGCTGTGCTACTTTGTCCACTGTCTGAAAACAGTTATGTATTATATTTTTTCCAGCAGGAAGGCAAGTTCAGTACCAGTTACTCTCTCATGGCTAGAACTGGAGTCCCACAAACTTGTAATGACTAACCTTTGCATGCGACCTCAGAGTGAAGGAGAAAATTAAAGCAGTAAAACGTGGCTGATTACCTGTGCTGTAGAGCGAATCACAGGATTGGGGCAAGGGTCACATAGGATATTTATGAAATATTCTGGGATAATGGTTAAAATGCAGATTCCCAGGCCACCTATAAAGCAGAAGCTGGGGTTGGGGCTCAGGGGTGTGCATTAATTTCAATAAGCTCCCTGAGGACTGTTTTACAGACTGAAATTTGACAACCCTGGTGTAGTGCCTCTAAAGCCAGGACTCAGGACTGGAGAGGAAGGGAGTTGTGTGAAAAGTTCTTCTGCCTCATCTCATTCCAAAGGAGTTTATGGTAGTCACTAAAGGTCAGGAATTCAGTCTACATTCTCAGATTTGGTAAGAGCTTATGAGCATACTCATCATTCTCCAGCATTTTTTAAAAATGTTTTTTCTTTATTGATTTTAGACAGAGAGGAAGGGAGAGGGAGAGAGAGAAAGAGAGAAACATTGACGAGAGAGAACATCAATTGGCCGCCTCCTGCATGCCCCCCCACTGGGGATTGGACCTACAACCTGGGCATGTGTCCTGACCGGGAATTGAACCAGTGACCTCTTGGTGCATGGGTCAACACTCAACCACTGAGCCATACTGGCTGGGCATTCTTCAGCATTTTTCTTTGCTTTTCCATGAACTCTTATTGACAGGCATATTTCTTTTTCCCAGATATCCTCCTTAGTGCTACTCTTTAACTCCTTGTAGCTGCCAAACTTCTCCACCCACTAATAATTCCCATTGACTCTGTTCTGCATTTCTGTTCCCAAAGTCTGTTTTCCCAGACCTGTAACTAGGATCTTCCACTAGTATTAAACTGGCCACTCTGGTGGCTCAGTGATTGGTGGCTGCTGGCCACACTTTGATCTGCCTGTCCTCACAAGTTGCCTGTTGCTGTAGCCGCTGGTTGCTCAGAACAGCAGGGTCACCATCCAGGAGGATGTGCCAAAGAACTCAAGGAGGCAGGGTTCCTGCCAGACATTAGCAAAGCTGTGAGGTGGTAGGGGAGCAATGTGCATGGAAATTATGATGCTGATAACTCTGAGATGTTTATTAAATTCACGGTCTGCAGCCCAGCCGGTGTGGCTCAGTGGTTGAGCAACCCATGCACCAAGAGGTCACCAGTTTGATTCCTGGTCAGGGCACATGCCCAGGTTGTGGGTCCAATCCCCAGTGGGGGGCATGCAGGAGGCAGCCAGTCAGTGTTCTCTCTCATTGATGTTTCTATCTCTCCCTCTCCCTCTTTCTTCCTCTCTGTCTCTAATATCAATAAAGAAAAAAAAATTAAAAAAAATTCATGGTCTGCAGAAGGTTTACTCAACTGGTATTCTTCTCCAGGCCCCTCCACATGCTTCCTTGGACCTCTTTCCAACTCCCTTCAAAGGGCTTCTGAAATCTTACTTTATTTTTTTTCAATGTGTGAAAAATGCTACATTTCAAGGAGTAACTGTTGAGTGTTACAGCAAAGCTTTCTGAATACAGCAGTTTACACACATCATAAATACATATTATTAGAAGGCTGTGCTGGCTGCCGCTGTGACATCACATTAGAATTAAATTGTTGCAGCTTTAAGCAACTGTATAGTCTGTCTTGTCCAAACCTGTCATTTGACATGTTAAGAAATTGAAACTTAGAGATTATTATACAAAATAGCTCAGAGGGGAACTCTGGTCTTCTGACTCCCAAAGGAACACTCTGCTCTCACAGCATGGTGTTCACCAGCCTCACTGCCATCACCACTCATTACTGGACATTTACCATGTACCAGCTACTGAGCCTAGTGTTTCACATTGTTTTCCTCATTTAATTATCAAAACAAACCTATGGGAAAGTGTTTTAAAATCAACTTTATTGGGGTCTCGATTTATGTACAATAAAATACCTTCATTTAAAGTGCACAATTTGAATTTTGACAGGTGTATGTGCCCTTTGAAACCACCTCCACAGTCAGTATACAG